TAAAACCACAATAATATATCTTTATACCTACTAAATGACTACAATAGTAATAATGATAAAAAAGATAATTGAACTCTCATACATTGCTGTTAGGGGTGTAAAATGGTGTAGCTGCTATGGAAAACAGTTTGGCAGTTCCTCAAAAGGTTAAACATATGACCCAGCAATTTCACTTGCAGTTATAAACTCAAGAGAATTGAAAACAGGTGTTAAACATACACACACACACACAACCTTGTACTTGAATACTCATAGTATAGCAGTATTATTCATAATAGCCAAAAAACATTCATCTCCTGATGAATGGATAAACAAAATGTGGTATAATCCATATGATGGAATATGATTCTTCCATAAAAAGGAATGAGATACTGATACATGCTACAAAATGGATGAATCTTGAAAATACTATGTTACGTATATAAACCAGACACGAAAAGCTACGTATTGTAGCTTTTCGTGTCTGGTTTATATACGTAACATAGTATTTTCTGGTTTAAATACATAACATAGTATTCCATTTATATGAAAATCCAGAACAGGAAAATATATAGAGACAGAAAGCAGATTAGTGGCTGACAGGGACTGGGGAGAGGGAGAATGGAGAATGACTGCTTAATGGGTATGGGTTTCTTTCTGGAGTGATGAAAATGTTTTGGAACCAGGTAATGGTGATGGTAACACAACGTTGTGAATGTGCTGGAAGTGACTGAATTGTAAACTTTAAAGTGGTTAAAATGGTGAATTTTATGTTAAGGGAATTTTACCTCAAAAAGAAAAAAAAGTCTTAGACAGGATATTAGCTGGAGCTCATAAATTACCTGACCATCAGTATTTTATAGGACTCTCTAGGTCTGTGTTGTTTTTTTCCTTTTGGGGTGATTTTAAGCTATTTATATAATTATTTTTAATGGTTATAGGACTATTCTGTTTTCTGTGCTTTTTTTGAGTCAGTTTTGATAATGTTGGGATTTTATAAACCCCATAAACAATAACCATGTATCCCACCCAAAATAGAAATCAGGCAGATAGATAAAACATTGGTAGCTTTACTACTGACACATGGTCAGTAGCAACAAAAGTCTTTGTAATACTATAACCCAAAACAGGACAATGTTACCCACATAGTTATAAGGTATTCTGGACAATTGCAGGCTGTACCCATCAAGGGAAGACAGAACACAGAATACATGCTGTACTGGCAGGTGATTACAAAATGAAAGGGGAAAAAGAGATGAACGATGCATGCGTATTCTGTGCTCCCAAATTTGGCAATCAGATAATTTGCTCCTTCCAATTTGGATAGGAATAGATGAGGGAAAAGGGAAAAGCCAAGTGCTATTTTAACAGAGTCACTCCACATGGAAGAAGATATGAGGAGTGGAGAATAATTTTACTTCTTAACAGATAATGTATACTTTTGTAGAAACTGGTTATGCCACAGAAGTATTTACATTTCTTGGCATAGATTTATTTAAAATATTAAAAATTTTTTGGAACTCTTGCTGTATTTATTGTGTATATGGATAAAATAAAACACCATAAATGACTCCATTAACCAGACCCTCATTTCCTTACCCCTCATTCTTGTTGTTGTTGTTGTTATGTACCGTCGAGTCGGACCTGACTATTAGCGACCCCACCTTGGGTTTCTGAGGTGGTATCTCTACGGAAGTAGATTGCCCAACCTTCCTTCTGAGGAGTGGCTGGTGGGTTTGAACTGCCAGCCTTCTGGTTAGCAGTCAAATGCCTTAGATACTACACTACCAGAGCTCCTACCCCTCATCCTAGTATACAAAATGTTCACTGGTTTGAGCAAAGCTCCCTTAGTATTTTATGTTGTGTTAATGGCCTTTCTTGGACTATGGCTCAATTGTGCAGGTTCCCATCTTTCTTGTCATGAATAGGACCTTAGAATGCAATTTCACTGAAGGGAAATAGGAATAGTAATAAGGGCTCCACTCTATGTCTGGAAATGAGAATTCTTGGTATCTTTTTCCTTCAACAAATTTCTGCTAATCAGAATAGAGCTAGCTTCCTTCTGGTCCTTTCTGTATAATGCTGACAGATGCAAAGAAGAGGTTAGAGGTGCAGGTGGAGACAAAGGGAGTTCTGAGAGGTGTAGGTAATGGGCTCATTTCTTTTATGACTCAGGGAATGACTATAGCATATTTTATTCAACATCTTTATCTTAGAGAGCTACATTAAATTAATCATAATTTTATTTATTCTGTATCATGCTGATAAACAAAAAGTCATCATTGATTAAAAATATATTTTAACACAAAACACACTCTGTATTTGTGACTTGAATAATTGTATAGCTTGTTCTCCCTAAAATTTATTTGCAGAGAAAGAGTATCACACATTGGCTGAACTTGCTTTACTTTTTAAACATTCTAACCCCAACTGTTAGAAACATACACAGAACACATTAAGTGTTCTGTTTCTGCTCATTAATTTGTATGAGTTTTCATCTCCATAATGAGGACTTCCAAATTTATGTTACTAGTCCAGATATCATTCAGATCACCTCCAGAACTTTCACTCTCAGTTGAACCTGTGTTTCTGGATAACATCTTGGTGCCTCCTCTTCTCAAAACTGCCACTCACATTTCTCCAAAATCCCTGTTTCACCTTCTGTATTATTGATCTGAGCTAAAGTTATAATATGCCCATCTGCCCATCTCCCAAGGTAGAAACTGCTCATTTGCTGTGAATCTTCCCTTTTTCTGATCTTCTAAATCTAATCTAGGAGCTCTGGTAGCCTAGTGCCTAAGGCACTTGACTGTGAACCAGAAGGCTGGTGGTTCAAACCCACCAGCCACTCTTGGAAGGAAGCCTGGGCAATCTACTTCCGTAGTGATATCGCCTCGGAAACCCAAGGAGGGGTCACTATGAGTCGCGGCCGACTCGACAGCACATAACAACAACAAATCTAATCAGTCTCTGCCACTTTCACTTACCTATTTTTTATCCCCACCCTTCATGTTCTGTGTCACAGGAGCTAGGTCCTTAAAACAATGTTGTCTAGACTCCCTTGGCCAATGAGCAGCACTGGTAGAAGGTTGGAAAGCAGCAGGAGGGAAGAAAGCATTGTTTCTCTTCTTTGCTGCTGAAAGTTTCTGACAAGAGATGTCAGTTAAGGGCTCCACTGACACCAGCAGTAACTCTCAAGAGTAAGTGATTATCTGTAGTAACTCCCAAGGCACTGGTATTGACAATTTTGGCAGTGTCAGCATCAGGTAGCCATGAATTCCAAGATATTTTGGCAGTTCAAGTCATTAATTTAGATATTTCAAATGCAGCAATGACTTCCAAAAGGATCCATATTTAGTGTGTTGCTGGGTACCTATAATACTACTTTCTCCCTTTCATTTCTCCAGACCTGAGTGTAATAGGGCTTATTGCCACCAAATATTTCTGTTTTTGTTTTCAGCATCCCCCTTTTTTTCTCTGTTATCCTGTACATCTATCTCAGTAATAACTATTTTCATGCTGAAATACTGAGTCATGATTTTTGCCACCCAAAAACTTGAGACCATTTTAGTAATGTATATGCAGTCTGATTCTTCTCTATCTCTACTGTGATGGCCTTACTAGGGCAGTTTTTTTCCACAATGTGTGTAATTTCTCTTCATTTTACCTCTTTTCAGTTCCTGACTCAACTTTACCTTAGTATAGAAATACTTTACATTAATAAGACAACACCTTGAGAGAATGAGTTGCTCAGCCTCGGGGCTCAGGACCACAGTCTTGGGGAACACCAGGATCAATTGGCACAACATTGTCCAAAAGACAATATTCTATATCCTACTTTGGTGAGTAGTGACGGGTCTGAAAACCTTGTGAACAGCCATCAAAGTGCAACTAGGGTCTCTCTCCATCTGGAACAAATAAGAATGAAGAAAATCAAAGACACAAGGAAACAATTGGTCCAAAAGCCTAACAGACCATGTGAATCCCAGAGTCTGTGACCCTGAGCCCAGAACTATGTGGTGCCTGGCTACCACTGCTGACTGCTCTAAAAGGGATCACAATAGCATGTCTTGGATAGAGTGGGAGGAAAAAAATGTGGAACAAAATTAAAAATCATGAAAAAGACCAGGCTTACTGGTCTGATAGAGACCAGTAGAACACCTGATACTATAGCCTTTAGACACCCTTCAGGTCTGGAACTGAACTCGCGGCCATGGCTCAACTTTCAGCCAAATGATAGACTGGCCTGTAAGGTGAACAGTAACACCAGGGAGGTATGCACTTCCTAGAACAATCAACCATACAAGATCAAAATGGTAGCATTTGCCTGAGGATAAAGCTTAGAAGACAGGATGGGATAGGAAAGAAGGATGAATGGAAACAGCAAATACAGGGAAGAAATGGGAAGAGTCCTCTTACATTGAGGGATTGCAATCATTGTCATGTATGTGTATGAATTGTTGAACAGAAACCAATTTGCTTTGTAAACTTCCACCCAAATCATGATAGAAAGTACATATATGAAAAAAAAAAATCTATTTATGGACAGTAGTCTCTGAGACTTCTGGTATAGAGTAGATGGTTTATGACCTACATCCTAGTTTGGTGAGTAGCATCTAGGGTGTTAAAAGCTTGCAAACAGCCATCTAAGATACAACAATAAGCCTTTTCTGTCCAGAGCAAAAGAGGAAAAAGGAAACCAGAGATTCAGAGAAGAAACTGGTTTACAGGACTAACAGTCTACATGAACCATGGCCTTATGTACCATGAGACCAGAAGAACTAGGGCTACAATAGATGGATCCTGATAGAAGGGGAGATAAGTGTGGAACAGACTTACTGGACTTGTGAGACTAGAGACTCTGTGAGACTATCACACTGAGATACTCCAGTTGGAATAGGAACTGATGTAATTTTTATTTTTATTGCTAAAAAACAGATTGGCATATAGGAAGAGCTTAGTAAATATTTCTTAATTTATCAACAAATTTTCTCTTATGTGGTAAGAGACTTTATATGGTATTAAAGACTCACAATTTTTCTGACCATATCTTTGAAGGCTTGTTTCACTTGTTGGTTTCTTAGGGTGTATATGAAGGGATTCAATAGGGGAGCTACAGAAGTCATGAGCACTGCTACTCCCTTGTTGAAGGCAACTCCTTCTTTTGCTGAGGGTTTGATGTAAATGAAGATACAACTGCCATAAGAGAGAGAGATGACAATCATGTGGGAAGAACATGTGGAAAAGGCTCTTTTTCTTTGTTGTGCTGATGGGATCTTCAGAATAGTTTTGATGATGTAAGTATATGAAAGCATCACCAGTGCCAGAGTGATCACCAAGGTCACAATTGCTAAGATAAAGTCAATCAGCTCCAGGAGGCTGGTGTCTGAGCAGGAGATCTCCAGGAGGGGTCCATAGTCACAGTAAAAATGATTCAGCACATTGGAGGCACAGAAATCTAGCTGGCTGGTCAGTATTATTGGGGATAAGATGATTAGGAAACCACTCAGCCAAGAGCAGAGAACCAATTGGGTGCAGACTCTGTTGTTCATGATTGTCTTGTAATGCAGAGGTTTGCATATGGCCACATAGCGGTCATAGGACATGGCAGCCAGAAGATAAAACTCTGTGGCACCAAGGAATATGACAAAGAAATATTGAGTGAAGCAGCCAGCAAAGCTAATGGTATTATTCCCTGTTAGGATGCTATTTAGGAATCTTGGAATAAAAATAGTAGTGAAAGAAATTTCCAAGAAGGAAAAATTCCGGAGGAAGAAATACATAGGGGTCTGGAGATGGGAGTCCAGCAAGGTGAGCGTGATGATTGTCATGTTCCCCATGACACTGAATATGTAGTTGAGGAACAGGAAGATGAAAATCATGACCTGAAGCTCTTGGTTGTTTGTAAATCCCAATAGGACAAACTCAGTTAAAGAAGTGTGATTTTTCATAACTAGCTGAAATGTTGAACTCATTAAAAAAAAAAAAGAGACAAAGAAAGAAATCAATGAGTGTGGAATAAGAGCTCAGGATGCCAGAGATGATCCCGATACATGAAATCAACTCACATACATTTCCTTTCTCAGTGACATATTGACCTTGAGTTAACTTCTTGGAAACAGTAACTTTTTGGTATAGAGACCCTATTGATACAGTTCTTGGTAGATCCTTCTATGAGAGGATGAAAAATTAAACTACTCAAGTAATAATCTATTTTGAGTGCTGCTTACTTTTTTCTACCAACTCACTGCTTTACTTTTTTGACTGTCAGAGCCAAGTGAGATCCACCCCTTTCAGGTGTGTATTTGGTACAGTATTTGGAGAACTTTTGAGATCATACTCTTAGTGAGACCGTAGAAGTCCTAGTTGACAGCAGTGTTCCATGCTTTGGAAGAATAGCTATAAATGTTTTACCTTCCTTTACTAGCACTACCTTTCTTTACTACAATAGCAATGCAATGAAATAATAGGACACAATTCAATTCTGACTCAGTGGGGAATTAGGGTTAATTCCCTCTTCCTACCTGTTTAAAATTTTCTTCTGTAAGATTCTTCCTGATTTTCTTGTATACTCCATGCCATCCTTGCCCCTATAAAGAGACTTATGTTAATAATTCTTAATTTATTCATATGTAATTATCAAAATTCTCTTGAAATACACTCTGGCCCACTGAGTTTTAGGTAAGACTTTTTTCCTTCCTTCATCCTTTGTGAAATGCTGACTGATTCTAACTAAATTGTAGGAAGTGGCAGAGTCTTGCTGTGTTTTGAATTATTTCTAGTTTTAGTCTGGAGGTTCTAACCTACCAGTCACTCCTCAGAAGGAAAATTGGGCAATCTACTTCTGTAGATATATTGCCTCGGAAACCCAAGGAAGGGTTGAATTGGGACTGACTTGATGGCAGTGAGTTTGGTTTTTTGGTTTTGTAGTGATAAGGGGGTTTTATACTAATCTACTAATCACTTGGTGGGATGAGTAATGTCCTCTTTAGAGCCTGAATTAAAGATACCCTTAGTGTTCAGGAACTTTTCCTCTGTAACAACATTGAACATTCCTTAGCAGCAGTAACCTTGGCATGTGACCATGGAGCAATGTTTGCCTCATTGGTTATACTACCTTCTGTCAAGTTCCTGCCACCATATAGGGGGTAAGAAAGTATTGTTAAATTAGTAAGTCTCTAACATGTTATTATTTTGTCTTTCATTTATATTCACTATTTCCATTCCTTTCCTCTGATTTTACTCATGTCTCTCCCCCCTCAAAGCAACCTGTAGTGAATACAGTTGATCTCCTATTCTGATTTTTGTTATCTCTCCACCTATGCTCCTGGGTGAATTCCCAGTGGGTCCAGGGTCCGACCTTACCCTTTGTCTCTGTCTTCCAGGTAGGATTTGAAGGCTTCTGGCTTAGACCTGAGTCCTGCTGTAGTTGGAATCATCCCTGTGTGTGGCTTGGGCTCAAATGTCATTAATCTGCATTGATGTACACACTTTTAGCTGAAATCTGAGTCTCTGAGGCACTGATCTAATAATTACTAATGGGAAAAGAAATGCAGTGCCCAGGTGATTTAAAATGATTTAAAGTCTCTTGAATGACAAAGTTAATGATGACATGAAAGCCTATTGATCCTTGTATCCAATATGGAAAATAATCACATTCTCTAGGACATAAATGTAACCCTAACCAACAGAGCAGAGAAAGCTTCTTATCCATCTCCTCTCAGGTTTTTGACCAAAAGTCTTTTATAGACAGTATCTGTGGACATCTCATTTCTGATCGCCTTCTTCAGGATTCTTTAGGGAGAGACATATCTGGTTCTTCTCTAATCACTGTGCGTATCAGATCTCCATTACATCACTGAGTTGATGTAATCATAGCTTATACAGGCAGTTCCCAGTTATGAACATCTAACTTATGAACTACTCCTATTTGTCCTTTAATGCAGGCCTTTGAACCAGTTCTTTTATAGCTGATGAAGCCAAACAGACTTGAATTTTTACAATTTGTATAATTTTTTTATGACAACGAGAACAGGAAAAATTATACGTCAAATCCTGGAATGGAGACTCAGGAAAGGCATAGTGAGCCCTTTTAGGAACCTGATACACAAGAATGGATTATTGGCAGGACTCTGGAGAGCCACACACATTCCAAGTGGTGTGGTCAGCCACCATCTTTGAGTGAGGCACCACCGTCTTTGAAACCCCACTTTGATGTTACATAAATTTGTCCTCACTTTGAAATGACTGAGCTAACCTATACTTGCAACAAATTTTTCATCACAATCACCTTCACTTGTTACACTTACAGCTTTTAAATCACTGAAAAGTCTTTGAGCCTTTTCTTGCACTAACCCAAAACCAAAAAACCAAACCCATTGTTATTGAGTCAATTCTGACTCATAGTGACCCTATAGGACAGAGTAGAACTGCCTCATAGGGTTTTCAAGACTGTAAATCTTTATTTACAGAAGCAGACTGTCTCATCTGTCTCCCATAGAGCAGCTGATGGGTTCAAACTGCTGAATTTTTGGTTAGTAGCTGAATATTTTAACCACTATATCCCCAGAGCTCCTCTCTTGCCCTAAAGTAAGCCTAAATAAGAATCATATGCACCAGTTCTGACTGACCTACAAATTCTTAAAGACACAGCTAGGATTGGATCTTGTTTGTAACCCGGGGACTGCCTATATTCACACGTTCTACAGAGTTGACTGTATCATTCGTTGGCATCTATAATTCAGTGCTCTTCCTTTCTGCACACTTGTTTTGCCTGTTGAGAAGCTATGCGTTTCCTTTCAGAGATTCACATTCAAATCATTTTAATGATACACAACCTTAGAAAGATAACATTACAGCTTTTGAAAACTGGGAATTTACTTACTCTAGTTAATCCAGATGGTTGCAGTGGGGCTTTAATCCTAAATACCCTAAATTATAAATGAGAGGTTAGAGATTAGGTAAGATCAATTTCTAACACCTTTTCTATCTGCCTTATATCATATCCTGGTATGCTCTTTCACAGAGTTATATAAGCTTTCATAGGTTTTTGGTAAAGAAATAGATTCCACTCTTCCCATTCCGTATCAACTTGGTGGACATTTGTCAGCTTTGCTTCCTATACTAATTCAAACAGTACTAGAAAATGAGACCCAGAGAGATGCTATAAATAGCAAATAAAAAGAAGAGTTAAAAGGTCCAGGAGAATGATGTGCTTTGAAATCTTATATCCTTCCTTCTAATTATGTCTCAACTAGAAAAAAGCCAGTGATTTCTACAAGATAGATATTGGCTTCTTGTAGGTTCCATGCCATCCAGAGTGAGTCAATTTTTATTTGCTTTGTTCAGAGAAAACACAAGGGATTAATTAACAACAGAAAGTCTCCTGTGATCTATCTTCTGAAGGTGCTTCAGAATCTCCTTTGTGGTACAGAGAAAGTGGTGAAAAATGTGGTGTGTGAACATCATTACCCTTGGGGCACGGTCCAAATGTAGGCTTAATTGTGTTTGTCTCTTAGGATCTATAGTGTTGTATAGATGCCTAACTTGGCATGGTGGTTACCTGGAGTTACCAGGAGTGCTCAGGCCTAAAAGCCTGATAAAAGTTGAGTCCAAGAGAAAGTAGAGGTGCACACTCATGTTCATTGCAGCATTATTCACAATAGCAAAGAGATGGAAATAACCTGAGTGCCCATCAACAGAAGAATGGATAATCAAACTATGGTACATACACACACTGGAATACTGTGCAACATCAAAGAATAATGAAGAATTCATAAAACACCTCATAACATGGATAAACTTGGAGGACATTATGCTGAGTGAAATAAGTCAAACACAGAAGGACAAATATTGTATGAGTCCACTGTTATAAGAGATAAAAATTGAGTCTGAGAGAAAGTAGAAAGTAGAGGTTACCTGGACTTACCAGGAGTGCTCAGGCCTAAAAACCTGATAAAAATTGAGTCCAAGAGAAAGTAGAGGTGAGGTCACAATTGGAAAAACCAATTACCTCCTCATGTGTAAGGGCTTTTCTGGGAACAGATGATAAATCCAAACTGTAATGAATCAGATAATAGCAAGAATGAAGTGGGAAGTGAGTAGAAAAAGCTGGATTGAAGGAAAAAGTCTAAGATACCTTCTGAGAAAATGGTATTTAGATGCACAATTATTTTTTTCAAGTTCTGGCTTCGTGTTACAAGTTAATATTATGTTTGATCAAAAACATCATACTTCTTCATTTTACATACCGCTGCTTGGAATAATGAATCTGGGTTTTAAAACATGATTCCTTGGTAAAAGATCATAATGTAATTGGAGGACATTGTTGAAGTAGGAAATTTGTTTCCAAATGTGTTCTGAATCTACTAGATTTGTTATGGAACTAAATACTTGATGCAGTGTGTCCTGTGAGTTAGTGACTTTCTGGGAGCACCTCAAGGATATGGCATAATACTTTCACATTTTCTCATTGGAAAAACGAGAAGATTTACTGGTAGAGTGACCTTCTTTTTAAGGATCTTTGCTATTTAAGACACAGAAACCTTCTAAACTAGCCCAAGTAAAAGATATTTATGCTACAGATGTGCCAGGTAATTTTATGGCTGCAAGACTTGTGAGAACTGGCAGTAGGCACCTTAAAGCACTAAAACCTACTTTTTCTCCCTCTCATGGTCCCATGGTCACTCATCTCTCCAATTCTAGGGGTCATAAGGGCCTTTTACTTTTTATTTCTCTATTTTCTCTCTCTTGAATAGTTTTTTTCTACTTGAATATGATACAACATTTAACTTCAAACAACAACAAACATTTATTGAGCTCCTACTTTTTGCCAGGCACTATTTAGGTACTGAGAACATAGCAGAGAATAAAACAGATAAAAATTAATGCTCTCATGGAGTGTTACATTCCATTGGAAGAGGAAGACAATCAATACCTAAATAAAGTATGT